TTATCGTGAGACCAATGTTCGTCAGACCGATTTTAGGACCGAAAAACAGACTGACCGGACTAACTAACATTATTAATCGGTCTTACAGGGACCGAAACCGACCAGGACGGACCGATCCATCACTACACTTACCCTAATTTAGGCCGAGTGTTTAATCATGTGATGTGATGACCACGAAGATGTCACTAGGTTTACTGTTTTTAAATCCACCTTAGCTTTATAAATTGAATATTTGCTCTTAGCCTATTGTACTGCGATAAGTTTATTATTCGAAACTGCTCTTGCTAGTGGATCTAAATATTTTCAAAAGTCTTTAATGGCTATTAAACACTCAGGCTTAAAAAAAAATTGATCATTTTGATCAATAATAATTTTCCATCCATAAACTTATTGGTCCTCTTCTCTCCGCGTCATCGCATATTCTTCATTTGTTGATAGCAATAATTTAGTTATTTTAGCACAGTCTGCAGAATACCATTGAGTGATTAATTCATTTATTTGTTCTGCATTTACAGACTCTAATGATTGAAAATTTTTCATTTTCATCATCCATTTTGCAATGAATCTATCGCTCGTTATTTTTGAAAATTTTAATATTTTAACAAAATATGGCTTAGAGAACTATTCAGATTATGTTGCTTAAATATCAGCCTAACAATCATGAAATACATTCTTATACAAATGGCTTTTATGTAAATAGAATTTATTTGTAATTTTATTTTTACAAATTGAGGTTTCTGACATAACAACTTATTAGCCGGGTACTGGTAAGATGAACGAATTTAACAAGAAAAAAAAATAAAAAATATAAGAAATCAATTTTCTTGACAAGGTTACCTAATCAAATTTAAATTTTTTTTTAAGAATTTATTTAATCTCACCGGATGTAAAATTCGTTTTTTTTTTTTTTTTACCACAAATTTTTAAAGCAAAAATTAAACTTTAGAGCCTAAGGCTTAAATTAAATTAAATGGATTTTTTAGGATTCAGAAAATTTTTACTTAGCATATTAAGTATCAATTATTAAATCAGTTTTTGAAACAACATATCCGATGAACGTTAAAATCGACCTTATTTTAATTGCATAATTTTTATAGAATCACAAATTTTTTATCAAATTAGATAATCGTCGAGAAAATTACTTTTTTTATGGTTTTATTTTATTGTCAAATTCATCCCTTTCCCAGCAACTAGTTCATAGGACGACTTTCATATGCTTGGCTGTTTAAGCCTATTTAATTTTAAATTATTATGCAGTTTAAAGTTATTTTTTTTTAAAAAAACTACAGAGCATGAATAAAAAGAAGTGCATAGAAAGCATTATTAGGGTTATAGGGCTTCATTATTGAAAATGCTCTAAATCCTCTTTTCTCTTAGAAAAGTTGGAATAATAACAACTTCTTAAAAAATAGGTCGAACTAGGTTATTTCCATGCTGACTTCTCTAAAATAAAAATGGATTTTGATCATTTTCAATAGTGGAGTCTTACGACTCTAATAAATTTTTTTGTATGCTTCTTTCATTCTTTAGTTTTGATTTTCTTAAAAAGTCCTTTGAATTTTATAAATAATGTAAAATTAAATATATTTAAACGGTCAATCATATCGAAATCGTTCTATCCGATATCGATATTGCAGAGCTGATTATAATCTTTTGTACGTGCGTACGTACTGTACGTTATAAAAGTAAAATAATTCCCAAAGTGGTTATGGGTCGCACAACTAATAACAAATACGTACTAGACTAAATCTATCCAAAATAAACTCTGATAAAGGAAAGGTTTTAGCATTAGAGCACTAGATTATGTCACGAGTTTCTAGTTTAGCACGTTTGAAATCTGTACCAGGTTACACATAACTACAAAGGCGTTACGTATAGATAATTTGTTATTATTTTATTTACTGCCAAAATTTAAGATTAGCGGTTTAAAAGTAAAATTTGTGTAATGAAAACAATAAGTAATTTTAATAACAAATATAAAAAAAGTTCAAGAAAAAATATTTAAAACAAAGGAATGAATAATTGAATTATTGTAATTAGTATTAATTAAATCAAAACTATTTTATATTCATTAAATGTCCTTAAGTGCATATTAACACAGTTAATAGTTATGTATGATAGCAATAAATATTAAGTATATTTAAGTTCTTTTTCATTATCACTATTAGGTTTCGATTCATTTTCAAATACTAATTGAGGTTTTTCATTAATTTCAACCGATTTTCTTGCATAAACACGAGTAAAATAGTAATAAGAATCAAATTCAAATAATTCTTTTTCAGAGGCTTTAACCATTTCATCAAATTCCTCATTAGAGATTTTTAAAAATTTTGTTAAAGATGGTTTAAAAGCTTCATATAAGGACCTTAAATTACTGATAGCCTGTTTTTTTAAATAAACAAAATTAAAAAGTAAATTTATAAACCATGAGAATCATAAAATTTGTAATTTATATAAGTAGTACATACCACTTTACTAAGTTGGGCATTATTAGTTTTTTCGCCATGATAGTTCTGTCTTACAAGTTTATTAATATTTTCTAACTGACCTAAATTAAATAAGAATAATAATTCAGTATTAATGAAATTACTTTTATTTAAATAATAAATTAAAGTATAAATGGAGACCTTGGTTTTGTACAAATTTTTCTATCATATGAGATAAATTTGGTTCTAAGCCTTTTTGCCGTACCAAATCTATTTCTTTTTAATAAATAATTTATTAAATATATTATGAGCATAAGTAATTATAAGTAAGTATAGTTAAGTATAATTATGCTGTATTTACGCGTAATAATGCACATGGGCGTTATTTCGAATAATGGCTCGAATTAAGCTTAATTTAGGCCGAAATTCAAAACTACACTCCTGCGCGCAAATACAACAAGTATATGCAAGTATAAGTAAATAATTATAAGGTACATACCAGCTTCCCATATGCGCTGAGTTGTTGGGCCCATATCATACACCGGAGAAGGTTCGCATAACTTTTTTTTTAAAAAAAAATTTTGATTAAACAAAAAAAAAATATTTTTTTTAAAATTTAAGAATAAATAAACATAATTTACGAATAAGCATACCTCTAAAAAACCACCTGGTTTTAAAACTCTAACAAGCTCGTTCATTACATTTGGCCACTCTGCTTTGGGGTATGCAAAAACCATACATCGTTGGAATACAAAATCAAAAGTGTTATCATCGAAAGGTAATCCTTCTAAAACATTTGCTTTAACGAATGTGAAATTTCTAGGTTTTATATAAGATGGTTGATGTGGTGACATATCTAATCCAATAACATCGACGAATGGAAAACTATGAAAACATTATAAAAAATTAATTTTTTTTACAATGTATTAAGAATTAATAATGGATAAGTATAAGAGAACACACGTACGCGGTTGCCATGTCAAATGACCATGACCCTGGGCCGCATCTAATTACGAGAAATGAAATAAAAAAATATGATATTAATATTCTTGACAATCGTTTTCTTATGATGGTAATGAGTTTTTGAATTGTCTGTCAAGTGTCTGTCAATTGTGATAAATATATATTTGAAGGATTCAATTACATTAATATGTCAAAATATCAGTAGGCCGAGTAAATCCTATATTTAAGATCATTTCACTGACATCATCTAGCATTACAATTAATTATAAATTATGTAGTTATACTCAGGAGATTCATGACAAATTAATTAATCAAAGAATCAAAGAATGAAGATAAAAAAACTTTTACAATTTATATTCATCAACCATCAAATCTAATAATTATAATAAATACATACCCAATATCGAGAATTTTTGTTCCAGGTTTATCTAAAATATTTTCTATAGGGGAAGAAAAATTGCTTTGGAAGAGATATCTTATCAGGAAATGTTGTAAATGTAGTCTATCTTGTTCATCTTCATCATTTGGTAGTTGGTATATAGCGTCTTTTACACCATAAAATCTTCTACCATCATCATATCTAAATTCAGTCTTTTTATTTTGTAAATTGATAGACCTGACATTTTTATCGCCTGAATTTTTAGAATGTAAACATCCCATACTAAATATTTAAGATGTTTATGTTCATAATTATCATTAAGGAATGTAAGAAAGACGGAATTTTTATATGTATTTATATTTTTTGACAACAATAAAATGAATACAGAAACGTATAATAACTTTCTATTAAAAATAAAGAAAAAAGACGTTTTCACAATGTGTATACGTGTATGTATATACATATGTACGTACAACACACAAATGCATATATAGATTGTTTATATTATTCCAACTGTGAACAGTTTATTGTTTCAATTACGCGGTAAGTGTTTCTATCAGATAATATTTATGTACTAGATATTCGGTATAACAATTTAACGCAACTAATAAAGGCTTAATTTTAAATTGTTTTCTAGATGACCCAAAATAACGTGATAATTAGTATCGCATTAGTTTACTTTTAGTCTATTATCAGCGTATTGATATTAACTAAATTTACTAAGTAACACGAAAACATAAGATTAAATTTATTATTATTAATAGCTTATAAAACTTTATCAACCATAAAATTTTACATATCGATATTGACATTTAATTTTATCATAACTAATTTAAGAAAATTTAAAATAAGTTTTTTCTATAATTTAGAAGCTAAATTTTACGTATAATAAATTATAAAAACTTCGTTTTTATTTCTAGTAAGTAGTCTTTGGACAAACATCTTTAAAAATTAGTAAAAATTAGTTAATAAACTACATTATTATTGCTAATCTTTTTTTTTTTTTTATATCCTTATGAAAAAAGTTTTACAGAATTTCAAGTAAATTATACGGAATATTTGGTATAATTCCGTATTACATACGGAATTTGCCGTATTTTATATACGGGATATGCATAAGGAATTACGCCATTTTTTAATAGAATCTATATCGTGTCCTAGAGCATGTTTCGTATATAAAATCCGGAATTTTCGGCAAATTCCATATGTAATACGGAATTATGCTAAATATTTCGTATAATTCATTTAAAATTTTGTAAAACTTTTTTCATGGGGTATATATATAAAATATACGAATTGATTTACATAATATGCACAACCATTGTAACGTTAAGAAAAAAAATTTAAATCTCATAATTCGTTCTATGTTATGCTTTATTAGAATCAGGTGCTTGTGGTAAAATTCATTGGGAACATCTTTCATTAAAATAAAATTTTTCCGTGAAAAATACTCGTTTTTTAAATTTTGCATTACGCACCCTCTTCAAATTTGTTGGTTATAAAATACGGCTTGGCTTGCGTTGCGTGAATGATCTACATAACAGATAAATACGTATGTACGTACGTACGTACGTACGTACTAGAGCTGCAGGTGAAACTAAATCATACTGGTGAAACTGGTGACTATTTAAAATCTGATTGGCTATTGCATTCAAAAGCCAATCAGATTTTAGATAGTCACCAGTTTCACCAAGTTTCACCAAGTTTCACCAAGTTTCACCAAGTTTCACCAAGTTTCACCAGTTTCACCAGCAACTCTAGTACGTACACCACTTTAACGGTTAAAATGTGAAGTACGCACGTACGTACGTACGTGCGTACTTATCTACCTACCTCCTACCTATCCACTACCTTTATTTTACTAAAATATCACACAACGAAACTAGTATATGGATTCTTAAAGTGCTGATAGTATAGTATCGGTATAGCTGATATGTAATAGATAACGATCATAAACGATCAGAAAGTCACCGTCAAAATTAATATTAACACCATAATGATAGGCATTAATTGTGCACGTGTCCTTATCGGACCTGTCCACAGTTTACCAAAAACAGTAATCACGCCCCAAAACCAGTAACGGTAATCATGCCTTAATATATAAATAAGTCGAATAGGCTAGGCTTTTTTAATACATTTATACATTTATCATTACGATCAACTGCATCTTCGCAAATCACCGTAAATCTCCTTAAACACCTAAATCACTAATTTAACATCTACACTTATAGACAAAACCTTGAATGATAGTGTAGTTTTAGTTGTATCGGACCTTAGTTTAACGTTAACAGGTACGTACGTACGTACGTATGTTATATTGTTAACAGTTAAGGCTAGTCATCATACGTAAACAAATTTGTGCATATGATTGACCAATAGAATATCAATATATATAATTAGGTACATGTGCGTAGCTGCGCAGTAACAAGGTACGTACGCTTTTAAATAATTACACATGCTTATATATTTTTAAATATGATAAATAATAATATATGTGATAAATCGTTTAGATATTGTTGGTGCTAATGTAGCATATGTTATAGTGGACGAAATTAATGTTCTGCAAAAATGGTCTGAAAATGGTTCATAAGGAATCGTTTAAAATCCTCGATGTAACATTATTGACTAATTATGGCTGTTAATTATCTGTTTTGGGATATTATTCACTACGGATTTATTAGTTATTTTTAGACAGAAAACTTTGATAAGTAGTATTAGAGAACCGCACTTAATGCAATGAAATCCCTTTTAATCCCTTTCATAATATCACATACGTACGTACAATCTATTTTATCTAACGTCACTGCTTTGTTTCACTTAAATGGAATATAGCTAGATCGAATATGGCTAAATTATATTGCAAATTTTGAGTATTTCATCTAACATCAACGCTTTATTTCACTGAAATGGAATATAGCTAAATCAAATATGGCTAAATCATATATTATGGTAAATTTTGAATATTTTATCTAGCATAACGCTTTGTTGAGTATTTTATTTAACATCAACGCTTTATTTCACTGAAATGGAATATAGCTAAATCAAATATGGCTAAATCATACATTATGGCAAATTTTGAATATTTTATCTAGCATAACGCTTTGTTGAGTATTTTATCTAACATCAAATGCTTTGTTTCACTGAAATGGAATATAATTAGATCGAATATTGCTAAATTGTATGTTACGGAAAATTTTGAGTATTTGCCTGGGCAATTAGAATCGATCATCTAAATCGATTATCCGAATCAACTTTATTGCTGTTTGCAAAAATGTGTGACCTTGTGATTTTTGCAATGATAATAACTATGAATTTCAAAAATTCAAAATTTGTTTTATTCAAATTATAGCATGTTCGGAAGAAATCAAAAAAACCACAAGAATTGCT